GACCAGGGGGGGGAAATCCTGAAACTAAACCTCGTGGGTACGGAAAGGATGACAACGTGTCGCCAGCACCCTGGACCGTGCTGGACACCCGGAAGGTGCTACGTCACCGTGGAACAAGACCTCGTGGAATGACCCGCGTGAACCAAGACGGGGCCCCCACCTGGCTGCCGCGGCGCCAGCCTCTTCCTCGTGGTTCTCGTTCTGCTGATGCTCCCCGCTCTCCACAACCGCCTGGGGCTCCTGGTCATTTAGGTCCACGGGAGGCACCTCCACCTGCGAGCACAGGAGGCTCTGAGAGGCGGCGTGGGCGGGCGCCCCCACCCGCGCGTCTGGTCCTCAAAGGGGATCCCGGTGGCGCGCTAGAGCTTCGGGCAGACAGCGAGCGAGCGGCGCGCCCCTCGTCCCCTCCCCGGCCCGGTCCACACAGCGAGGGGCCTTGACGCGGTGCCGGTAGCGCACCGCACGCCCGCACCGCCTCTCCTCCATCAAGACCAGCCGTTCTGTCCGTCAGAAAACTTCGCCTCGCGGGGCAGGAGGCGGCCCCAACAGTAAGGAACGGCCCCCTGCTTCACGTCGCCGGGGGAAGCGCCGGATCCCGCCCGCCCTTTGCCCCGCCCGCCGCCCGCGGAAGGGAAAACAGCACCTCACGTACGCCCTGGCGCTCCATTTCGTCTTTTCCCGCCTCGGAGCTCCCGCCCTCTGCTACGCCTCTGTCCTCTGCGCACGCTCCGCCCTCCGCACGCCCCGTCTTCTGCTACGCCCCGCCCTCTGAGCATGCGGGGCTTCTGAGCACGCCCGCCCTCTGCACGCCTTTGCTTTGCCACGCCCCCGTCTGCGGCTACGCCCGGCCCTCAGCACGCGCCCCACTTTCGCTACATCCCACCTTCTGCACGCGCCCCGCCCTCTGCATGTCCTGTCCTCTGAGCACGCCCGCCCTCTGCTACGCCCCGCCCTGCCTTCTGCTACACCCCGCCCTCTGCGCACGCCCCGCCCCTCCCCTCGTAGAAGCGCTCCCTGGCCCCGCCCCCAAGCTTACACTAGGCCACGCACGTGGTTAGGCGCCAGTGGAGTTATGCAGGTTCAGCGCCCACCAGCGACTCTGTGCGTCTAAGGTCGCAGAGCGTATTCGCAGGACTTGAGGGTCACCTGTGGCACTCAGATTACAGAGTTTGACGAACTCATACTGTACACCGGCGTTCCGCCCCTCTGTTCCACAATTTTTTTTCAAATTCTTTGAAACAGGGTCCCACTATGTCCTGGTCTAGGACTACGTAAACCAGGCTGTCACTGAACACAGAGATCAGCGTGCATCTGCTTCCAGAGTGGTAGAATTAAAGGCAGGCACTCCCACGGCTAGTGATAACCAGCGACATATATTTATTCATTCATTTGTTCATTTATTTTTTTGTGAAGCAAGGTTTCTGTGTGACCCTGGCTGTCCTGGAATTCACTTTGTAGACCAGGCTGGCCTCGATCTCAGAGATCCGCCTACCTCTACCTCCTGAGTGCTGGGATTAAAAGCGTCCACCACTACTCCAGGCTGTAATTTTTTTTAATATTTTTTTTTTATTTTATATGCATTGGTGCTTTGCCTGCATGTGTCTGTGTCAGATCCCCTGGCCCTGGAGTTACAGACAACTGTGAGCTGCCATGTGGGTGCCGGGAATTGAACTCAGGTGAATTTTTATACATTTAACCTACTTGTGTATGCACATGTGCTAACTCTGACTTCCCCACAGGGAGGAAGTTCAGCCTGGAGGAGTCCACTACTTCCTTCCACTTTGTAGGTCACTGGGATGGAAGGCTTTGCAAGTGCCTTTACCCACTCTGCCATCTGGAAGGAACTCTTTTGTCTTTAAGTGTTTTTTAATATAGTTTTTGTGTCCATACACATAAAATGTTTTGCCTGCACATATTTCTGTACAACATGTGTGCCTGGTGCCCATAGAAGTCAGAAGAGGGATCCAGATTCCCTGGGACTGGAATTACAATTGTGAGCCACCACATGGGTGCTTGAAATTGGGCTTACATCCTCAAAAAAGCAACCAGTACCTTAGCCACTAAGCTATCTCTCCAACCTTTTTTTTTTTTTTTTATGCCACATACCCAACAGCTTGAGCGCCGGTGGGGAACAGAAGAACGGGGTCAGGTAGAGTTCTCTAGAGCTATGGCTGCGGATTGGAACCTCGGGTTTTTATTATGTACAGCACAGGGTTAGTTAGTTTTGGTAGGCGGTATCTGTGGGTGATACATCTGGAGAGGAAGCCAAAGTTGCTAATCTTTACACACATTAATTACCATCAACAGTCATACTGAGGGCCTGGCCCATATAGGTAATGGCTTTGGAAGTTTTCAATGGGTCAATCAGTCTTGGACTCCTCCATGCCCACATCAAAATACAAGTCAGAACTGTACTCACTCAGGGCTTCCTCTACCCCCTTAATTTTTCTTCTTTTTCTTTTTAGTTTTCTCAAGACAAAGTCTCACCGTGTAGTCCTGGTTATCCTGGAACTCGTTCTGTAGACCAGGCTGGCTTCGAACTCACAGAGACATACCTGCTTCTGCCCTCTGAGTGCTGGGATTAAAGGCCCGTGTCACTACTGCTCCTTACATTTTCAAATAAGGTATTGTGCAGCTCAGGCTGGCATGGAACTCAACATGCATCTAGGAATGCCTGTAACCCAGCTTTTGGGGGCTGAGGTAGGAGGATCTCCAATTTCAGGCCAACCTGAACAAAATGGGCTGACCCAGACTCAAGAAAAAACCCAATCTAAAAGACTGAGGCTAGGAACAGTTAACATGTCTGTGGTCTGATGGAGGAAGGTCATTGGTTAATTATAATAAACCAACTGCTTGGCCTCATAGCTTAGAACATAGATGGGAGGAGTAAACAGAATAGAATTCTGGGCGGAAGAGGAAGTGAGGTCAGACTCTGCTCTGCTTCCGGAGAGACTCGACAGCTCTGCTCTCTGGAGCAGAGACGCCATGCTCCGCTCTCCCAATAGCTCTGCTTTCTGAGGCACACGCGATGAAACTCCGACCCAAGATGGACATAGGTTAGAACCTTCCTGGTAAGCGCACCTTGGGGTGCTTACACACATCATTAGAAATGGGCTAGTCCAGGTGCGAGAATTAGCCTGTAAGGGCTAGAGTTCATGGGCCAAGCAGTGTTTCAATGAATACAGTTTGTGTGTTGTTATTTCGGGCATGAGCTAGCCAAGCGGCCGGGGTGTTGGGGACGCAGCCCCGCCGCTCCTATTTCAAAAGTGGTCCCTGCTATTTGGATAACTGAAGCAAAATTACTTGGGCCCAGGAGCCGGGGCCAGTCTGGGCAACACAGAAGCCCTGTCTCAAAAAAGGGAGGTAAACCTGAGGATATAGTTGAGTCAGAGCATTTGTCTGTAACACACACCCTGGGTTTGATCACCAACACAGCACACACAAATAGGCAATAGACTGGGATGGATGCACGCAAAGGCCCGGAGACCAGCTCAGCATCAGCGGACACTGTGACAGGAGCAAAGGCCCTGTGTGTCATGTCTGTCACACTGTCCACATAAGGGAGGCATGAAGGAAGGCCCCAGTCACACTGTGTGACTCTTCTGAGCCAAGCTGTCGTAACCACACCCCAAACTAGGACATATCTTGACACCCACATTCTGTGGAAAATGACGATGAATCTGGATTTTTACCAGCTAAGCAATGGAAAACTGGTACTCTCCTTTAGTGGCCTCAGAAATCTACCTGCCTCTATATCCTGAGTGTAGGAATTAAAGGCATATTAATATTACCACCTGGCTAAAAAACTGGCACTCTCAAAACACATCCCCATTTATTACTGCTGTGATAAAAAATCTAAAATAACACTGTTGTAAAAGTTACAAGGATAAACATCTGGCAGATCCTAAAATTTATTGACAGGAGGCAATAAACTTAAGTTTTGTCAGGCAGTGGCGGTGCACACGTTCAATCCAAAGCTTAGGAGGCAGAAGCAGGCAAATCTAAGTTCGAGGCCAGCCTTGTTTACTGGGCTAATTTCAGGACAGCTGAGGCTACACAAAGAAATGCTGTCTTGAAAAAAAGAGAGGAAGGAAGGAGGAAGGAAAGAAATCTAAGTGTTGTGACATGCGCCTATAATTTCAGTACTTGGAAGGCTGAGGCAGAAGAATCTTAAATTTGAGGCAAGTCTGGGCTATAGTGATAACCTATGTAGACCAGGCTGGCATCAAACTCAGAAATCTGCCTGCCTCTGCCTCCTGACGACTGGGATTAAAGTTGTGCACCACCACCACCACCCGGCCTAAAAAATTAAAACATATATGCAGACAAAACGACCATAAACATAAAAAACAAACAGGCAGGCCAGCCCAGAAAAGCGGGTTAAAGTACAGGTGCATGAAGCTTTATGCAACTCTTTCCTCAGAGTTCATGAATCTTTCTTTTTTCATTCAACAGTCTAAGTATGTGGCCTAGGCTGGCCTCAAACTCATGATGCCGCTGTTTCAGCTGCTCCAGTGCTGGGAGACTTGATCATTAGGGGGAAAACTAAGAGCAGCTTCTCACCCTACAGCTTTGCTCCTACCAGGCATGGGGAATGCTGGCTTTAGGCCATCACCCACTAAAGTATCCTTTCATCAAGGAGTTTCAGTCCTATTCAGTCAGATGAGGACTGGGCACCAGTGACTTGTAAATGCCAGGGGCGAGGGGCTGGCTCAGTAGTTAAGTGCTTGCTGTGTTCAATCCACATAAAAAATAAGGGATGTGCATTTATAATCCCAGAGCTGGAGAGATGGAGGCAGGAGGGTCCCTGGAGCTTCCCTGTCACACAGGACATAGACAGTGTTCCTAAGGATGACACCCAAGGTTGTTTCCCACATGCACCTGAACAGACAGACACACATCCATTAAAAATAAATGTTAAGTGGAACCACGGACCTGCCTGGGCTGCCTGGGACCTTCTAGAATCTCAGACCTTGGAGGATTCAAATCCCTGACTCCCAAACCAACATACCAGGAACTGTCACCCAGTTTTCTCCCACCAAGCAAGGCAAAGCCCACAAGTCACCTAATGAAATGAACAATAACGAAGAATCCTAACAAAAGGCACCGCATGAAAGAAAGTGCCTATTTTATTAGACAACAGCTGACCCGCAGGGCCCAAATCCACCCTTAACACTACACGCACCACCAAAGGCCAGCACAAAAAACCTGCTTCCTGCACTCAGGACCCTGCCCCTGGGTGGGTGAGGCAGAGGGAGTGAGCTAGCCTCACAGAGGCCTCATAAATATTAGCGAGGTCACCGCTGGGGGATGCACAGGTACTGGACAGAGCTCTCTGGGGCAGCCTATATCATGCAGCCTCCTGTGTCTGTGGAGACCTGGGCTCGATATCCAGGCGGCACATAGGGCTGTCATATACCATCTGCAGGTTCACCTTGTGGCCCACCAGCTCTCGGATGTTGTTGATGCCATACTTGATCATCGTCGGGCTGAGAAGGAACAGTTCAACACTGAGTCAGATTAGGCTGTCTTTTGCTCCTCAGAAGCTCCCATCTTTCTCGGAGGGAAAGTCTTCCCCATGGTGAAAAGGATGTACCATCGGCCCAGTCACTCCCAAGCTCATCTTCCCTCCCACTCCCCACTCTGCTGTTGAAGGAGCGACAGGGCTGCGTCCCCAGCACCCGGCTGCCCGCATGGCTAGCTTATGCCCGAAATAATTACACGGAAACTGTATTC